AATAGGCCATTTTACAGTTGTGTACTTAGTTGCCAAGCCTTTGATTCAGAGTGAGGCTAAAGATGACCTTGTTGTGATAGAGACCTGTATCTAGTTAGCATGATAACAAAGTGATTTACATTTGAAAGGCAGCAAGGTTTGTATCATAACAAGGTCATCTCTAGCCTCACTCCCATTCAAAGGCTTGGCAACCAAGCACACAACTGTAAAATGGACTATTAGGAATGAAGTAAACTGTTTTCCAAAGTTTCCTAAAGTTTGATCAACATTGTTTAACTAGCCTCATAGACTCCATTAATAAAAGAAACAGTTACTTGATCTATATTACTGGAGGGGATGGAGTGGGGGAAGGTGGAAGTCTGCTGAGGGGGGAGGGCTGGAGGGGTTACAAGAGACCGGAGAGGAAAGGGTATTGTTGGTAGGAAGTAAGAGGGAAATGTGAATTGCCAACATTTGAACCTTATCTGCTACATTTCACAATGAAGGAAGCCGGAAAAGTGAGTCAATCGTCTAGGCTGGGAAGGAGAGAACACTGTAGTACAGAAAGCATAGATCACCCTTAATGCAGCTGACTTTGCACAAAAGTAAGCTTAATTATACATCGAGTGGTTATGAGTATAAAACTGCATATTTTAATCAAAATTATCCTGGGCAAGATGTACTGTTCTGCAGTTTCCTTTTGGTGAGTTAGCCAGTAGTTCCCATGTGACTCTTAGTCTTAAATCAATTAACTCGAGTGCTTTAAAAGGGGAGCCGTTTGACTTCATGAGTATTTAAATTTTTTTTTATCTTTGCAGCTCTGCAACTCTGCCAACCACCATGCGCTGTCTCGAGGATTATAACAAAGTTGATGCACGCATCAGTCGTTTTGTGCTGCCTCTTGGTGCAACAGTTAACATGGATGGCACAGCTTTGTATGAAGCGGTTGCTGCCGTGTTTATTGCCCAGGCCAACGGCATTACTCTGAATGTTGGACAGCTTATAACTACATGGTAAGCAAGGAGTAAAATAAAACCAGGAGTGACAGAAAAAAAAAAAACATTATGACAACATCTATGTGACATTTAAAACTTTAATGGTCTGGGCTCAAAGCTTAAGGTAGACCTCATGATCTGCTAATCAACATCCAAAATGTTTATTATTAGGTCATCGTATACCCCCTGTACATAGTAGCTTTACTAACAGTTAGTTATGTGCATTATCCTACAGTTTCACAGCCACAGCAGCTTCTATTGGTGCTGCAGGAATACCACAAGCAGGACTGGTTACCATGGTGCTTGTCCTTCAAGCTGTCAATTTACCCACTGATGACATTGGTCTCATTTTAGCAGTGGACTGGTTTTTGTAAGCTATTGTTTTATGTTTTCCTCTTTTGGAGAAAAAAATATTTATAAAGCCTGCCATAAAAAAATTTTTAATTCTAGATGCTTTCCCTATGGCTACTGTTTTTGAATGTTTTGTGACAATTTTTGCTCCAAGGAGTAAAATCACCAATTTCTGGTAGAGATGTAATGAAAATAATTCCATACACTAGCTGTGTTAGGAACATTGAATTCAGTCTGGTAACAAATGGATTGGCCTTAAGTTAGTGGTTCAGTTCCATTGGCTGTTACAGCAACTGGTTTGAACACAGGGCGAACATTTGAGGTCTCCTTGGTTGTGATTGCCACTCAATGTTGGGATGGGTATTAAATTACCAGCTGGTCAGGTATAAACTGATGCAAACTGGGTATGAATTGTCTGAATTTGGGTTCAAAACATTAGTAGATATGGAATGATCAGAAACTGTCCCCAGTAGTGACCGAATTTTCAAAAACCTATGCAGTGGTCTTAAGCAGAGTTAAGGACTTGTCATCATCAATCAAGTACCCAAACGGTAGTTATGTCTTCCACTGAGGTTGCCAAGTAGTTCATAGACCTGATTAACATGGGTGTGAACTTATCATTTTCATTTTCTCTTTAGTGGGTGTTTATTATGCTCTGATACTTTCAAATTTCTGCTAAACTTTACACATTTCTCATTCTTGACTGAAGAGATCGTATCCGCACTGCTGTGAATGTCATTGGTGATGCCTATGGGGCTGGTATCGTTGAACACCTGTCTCGCAATGACCTGATGTCAATGGACTTCACTGCCCGAGAAGAGGACATTCCCCTGGATCAGTATGACCGATACACACCAAAGCCTGAGGGTACCAATGATGTACATGCCAGTGATGCATCGCTGCGTGCAACAAACTTCTAAGAATGCCCTGGCCAAGCAGTACCTGGATAATAAGCTTCACTGTAAAAGTTATAAATACAGTGGTTAACCTATTAAAAGTTATAACTTAACAGTGAATATTATGGAAGATTTGTTTTGTTCCAACATAGTCAAATTTTTTCTAAGGCAATATGTAACCCGTTTAACTCCAAAGATCTGATTGTTAATTCTCCCCTCTACCTGCAACACATCTTCTTGTAAATTATTTTCTAGAAGTTGGTGTGAGATCAAGGTAACAACTTCTTCCTGATAAGTTTGAGTATTCTCAATACCTTTTTTGCTAGATAATGTATAGATATTATAGGGAGAAGTTACATGTTAATCTCTACTGGGAGGGATAATTAACATTATAATAATCAGGACAATAATAAAAGTAAAAAGCTAATGAAGTGACCTTATTGACAGTTCCCCTAATGGGGCTGTTCAGGGCCAGTGTAACCAGAGAAGGAAACAAATTTCCTAAATAAACATGAATTGGTTAATAGTCGCAGCTTGCTAGGGAGATAAGGAAGACTAGTTGGCTATTCAAGGACTGCAGGAATGTAGTTAAACTTGGGGAAACAGAAATAGGTTGTGGCTTCTGGGATGGAGTGCTTAGACCAAGTTTGAAGTAAGTCCAGCAATGTTATGCCTAGTGATTCAGTCAGTAGTTTAGGTGAGCAGTACAATAAACCTTGAACTTTCATGCTGGTAGTTTCTGTAATATAGCAGTATAGGGTAGTAAAGTACACCTGTTCAAACTGTATCCCAAAGTTTTTTTTATAAATAAAAATAAAATGTGGTGGGTGTGAAATTTTTGTCTGCGATTCTAGCTCTACTGCCAAGATCTGATTGTTTATTCTCCCTCTAGCTGCTACATATCCCCTTGTAAATTAGTTGTTAGAATTTAGTGTTAGATCATAACAAGTTTTACCTGACAAGTTTGAGTATTCTCATTAGTTGATTGCAGGATAATGTATGGATATTGTAGTATTGTATGCAAGTCTTGTGCGATGCTCATTTCAGGGACTATGATTTTTCAACAGTTTTTTTTTTTGATAAAATTATACATTTTGAACAAATTTTAGTTGTGAGGACTTTTTGTGATGCCTCTCAACCTTTACACCATAAAATCAGTCTCCAAATTCTCCATGCCCTTCTCTACACCTTTCTTTTTGTAATGACAAGGAGAATTGGTTAAAGGGTTTATTACATCCATTTTGAAATCACTCGTGGTCCCTGTAATCTGATTGGCTCTAATTGGTGCGATTTATTCAGGAATTGCACCATTTTTTGCTCTTAATCGCATCATTTTATGCTTGACTGAGTCTTTGACACATGACATCAGTCTTTCTGTTTTGCATACAAAATAAGATGTAAAAGCATTTTCAGTTCCACTTATTATTTAAAAACTGGCTCAGTACTGCATCAGTAAAATATTTGAATTGACCCCTCTATTTGGGCGATTTCAAAATGGATGTAATAAAGTGGTAATTGAACCTTGTGTCATGCAATTTTGGTCTGAAATCATACTTGTGATTTCAAATTGAACTCGCGCTGCACACTCGTTCGATTTTGAAATCAAGCATATGATTTCAGCCCAAATTGCATTCCACTCAGTTCAGTTACCATTATTAATGTAACAAATAAATCTCTTTTTAAAATGATCAGTCCTGAAAATGTCTCCTTGACAGGCCATATTTTTGTGCTGCCTTCAGATTTAGTGGAAGCTTTTTTCAGAAGGCAGTGAAAAGATAAACGAGTTCACAGTAGGGATCATTTAAAATCCACTCAGTATAAGAAGATTACCTTGTCAAATTATTACAGCACTTTTCTTTGATTGCCTGACCATTGAACAAAAACATCTAATTGAGCCACAGCTCAATCACATCAGATGTGAATCGGATGTAAACTTGCTCTGAATTCTCTTGAAAACTCAGGTTTTGGAGGTTGAATACTCGTTAAATTCTCCTTGAATTTTATGTCCACAAACCAGCACAGATACTGACATTCCAAACAACATGCAGAATTTCCTGCCCCTTAACCTTGCAAGATTTTAATTAAAACTGTCCATCCTGGTCACCATACATCTCTTCAAATGTTGGTTTTAGATCAAAATGTTATGTGCCAGGTTATACATTTCTTTGTTTTCATCAACAATCTGCTTGACAATACTTTTTCTTGATAACAATGGGAAAAATCACAAATTGGTCATGCATGGGGTGAAAGGGCAAATTGGCTACAACTATCCTAAGTCAGTAATCAAACACTATTACAGTGTGTGTAAGTCTGAATGAAGTAGCATCTCAGTCAGAATGGTGCCCGCATGGGGCATCCAGTACAGATGTCTCTCCTTCGTTCTACAAATTCAGAGGCAGGTCTCTCCCACAATGCTTTCAGGTTCAATCACTGAGTTGCTTCTTTCTTGAAAGTTCTTGATTTCACCCATGGATAAATCAGCTCTCCCTTTGCCAATTTCTTGACTAAAGGCAGCCAATCTTGTTTGTATTCATCTTGATCAGGGTACTTGTCAAGCAACTGCTGAGTAAACAGCTTCGTGATAGGAAGTGGTTGATTGTGAAGAATGAGGAAAACAGTTGGCAAAGGACCTGTTATGTCAAGGGGAAAATCCTGTAGTGTGTTGAGTTCTGCTTCTGGAGAAGCCAGTGAGTTAACATATTCAAACTTGATGCCTCCTAAAGCAAATCAACAAACATTACAAATATATTAGTTTACAGAGAACAATGTTGAACATTTTGCCACACGGGTTAGAAAAATTAAGGAGATTTTACATTCAAGGCAGTTTCCCTTTCATGGTTAGATATGTTGTACTTCAGTTTTATACTTGGTTCAAATTTTATTTTCCTTTGTTCATGGTCATGTTAATGTATGATAATGAGCTTGAAATAAAGGAAAATAAAATTTGAACCAAGGATAAAATTGAACAACAACAGATACACCACAAACAAGGTTCTAAAGGCCTTATCAGGAATCTATTGTGTACAGAAATGGTTGTTTCTTTCAAAATGGCATTAGTTTCCTCATTACAAGAAGAAGTGCATGCACACAATATCCCAAAAAAACATTACAATACATTAAACCTTTAATTTCCAAGATCTGATTGTTAATTCTCCCCTCTAGCTGCTACATATTTCCTTGTAATTAAGAAAGGAGAATTTGGCGCTAAATCAAGATATCCTGGAATGTCCCAGGAGGAAGTAGATCACCTTTTTAATGCTATAGTTTTACCAAATTTTTCTTATGCCCTGCCGGTTTATGGTACCTTAGACTCCAACCTTTTTATAATACAGAATTTTTTGGACCGGTGTTTGAAAAAGAAGTTTATGTCCAAGAATGTAGATATCAGGGATTTGCTAGAGAAGGCGGACAAGGCACTCTACAAAAAAAGATAGAATGACCCCGAATGCCTGTTTTTCCAG